TCATTGTTTGTAAAAACTTTCGAGCTTTAAGTTTTTTTTAGCATTGCGAAGAATTTCTGTTTTCTCGTTGTAATCCTGAAAGTATAAAATTATCGGTCTTTTGGAGCCAAGTTTACCAAGCCCGTGTGCACGCGCCATGCGAACACGCAACGCCCAGTTCGTTTTGAAAAAGGTCAACGCGTAATTTTCAATTGATCATCAGATTCGTTAGGCGTTTTGGGAATGCAATGAATTACAAGGTTTGAACGGCAACTCCTGTCCTCAAGATCAGCATTTTTTGCATTTTGTTTCATAATAATTTGCTCAAGAGCGGTTACAGATTGCTTTATCGATTCAATCTGCATAGTCTTTATTTGTATTTCGTTCAGAGTTTTCTCGATATTCATATATATAAACATTAGGTCTTCCATTTTTGTCATTACGCTCATGTCGAGCCCTGAGCTCGGATATTTCATTTTCAATCGCGGTTTGGCCATCAATGATTGTCTGAAACATTTCTTCAGTTGTAGACCCCGGGTTTGACTCCCCATCCCCTCACAGAAGAAGCGTACATACGAACAAACAGTCATGCGCAATATGAAACAGAGACAGTGGGCACGGCACAAGTGCAATCCCAATATCGTCACTTCTAAATGATCCGAATGAATAACCAACCTGTAGGAAAAGCCAGCAGAAGTTAGGCGACACGTTCGCACGACAATCGCCGCGCACCCGAACCCGTACACCTGAACCACATAATTGATGATAAGGCCCTCCTGACAACAATGCGAAGCACGTAACGCTCACCGCGTACGTTTCTCGGTAAAGATTAATGTTGCGCAAGCTGCCGCGACGACGGCAGCTTGCGACGTGGGGAGTGACGTCACTAGCCTTTCATATATAAAAGAAGAACCCATTCTGTACTCCGTTTCACCTTAGGTCCGGACACAGCGGACGTTACGGGCTATCCTAGGCAACCCCGTTCTGTAGACGTAGCCTATGATACGCTTTCCGCCCGTCGCTGTGCCCCCTCTCTAAGGTCACGTGACACTCAGACGGCCTGCGATTGGCTCCGATGGCTCGTAACATCCGCTGCGCTTGGACATAAGGTGAAACGAAGTTTGATTTGATTGTTGTTGCAGCACCGCTATGGGTAGGCCACGCATAGTTAGGACTCCTGAAAAGCATGCGTGAATACGAGGGGCGGCAAAAGGGAAAAGAAACGGCAATACGACCAGCTTCGGAATTCGGTGTAGTGCAGTGGGCAGTCGTTGCAGGTGATACAACAGCTTAGCTGGCCAACCACCTTCACAGCGTGAATTGGAGCACCAACGTATTTCATACGGTATTTTCATATCACGCATAGCGGTCCGACGTGCTGACGTCAATCCCAACTGAAGAGCCGGATTATTTTGTTTCTAACCTGGTAAACAAACCCAAACGGTTATGCGAACTACGTGCCTGAACCAAAGTGTACTAGCATTTTTTTAACACTTATCGAAATGCGGTCGTTTCAATATGCTGCGCGAATATTTGTACGGATTTTTCAAAAGGACGTGAATGGCATTCTCTAATGCAGTAGTGTCAAACAAGTCAGGATGGCCGAGTGGTCTAAGGCGCCAGACTCAAGGATTTGCTTTCCTTGCCCCTAATAAGGGTTCGAGATTTCTGGTCCACAATTGTGGGCGTGGGTTCGAACCCCACTCCTGACATTGACTTTATTTTTTTTTTTACGTGTTTTATTAGTCATATCAAAACGACGGATCGCGTGTTCACGATATGACTTAGAAAATGTAACCACCTCATTGAAATCCCGTGCTTTAGCTATTAGCGCCGAGATGTTTCGGTGGCGCCCTCTTATGGTTTCCTTTTGTAACGTCGCAACCAGGATCCGCCTCGCCGTGATTGGCAGGATTTGCCTCGCTGTAAACCTGCGATTGGGCAGGCATTCTCATAATACAGGAAAGAATGGTTTGGGCAATCACGAACTTCGACCACAGCGACGCTTTTGGTCGCGCACGTCGCTATTACTTCGTTTAAGTCCGGACACAGCCAACGAGCGGATGGAACTAAGCAAAGAGCGTCAAAAACGCACCATTATGGTGGTCGTTGTATATCTCTTAATGTTCTATTATCGCTCACCTACTATGGTAGAAGGAAGGCCCAGAGACTTGCGCTTTTGACGCTGTTTTATTGGCCCCATCAGGTCGTAGCGTCGGCTGCGTACGAACTTCAAGTGAAACGAAGTATAGCTGCTATTTATACCGCTTAACTTGAAGGTGCTTAAGGATTTGAACGTCAAAAAACAAAACAAAAAAACATTTGATCACCTGAGGAGTGTGAGAAAAGCCTGCAAAATTTATTATCTTACGGAGAAGGAAAAACACTGGAAACACGTGGTTATGTTATATTAGAATATTCAATAGTTCATAAAAGACGCATTCAAGTTGTAAGGTATTCTCATTTTTAACTCTGAATTGTCTTACAGGTCGAGGCATGAAAAGCATCTTAAGATATGCTGAATTTTATTAGGACTGTGTGGAAACGATACAGCATTGCTATACATTTATCAAACGATCGTGGTGCCACCTGCCCTCACCACTGCTTCAGACACTAAAATGACGACGTTAACCTTCAGGTAGAGAGAGTGAGAGAGAGAGACGGAGAGAGACACTTTATTTTAAGAGAACTTTTATTCCGAGTCGTCAGAGAGCATGCTATAGTCTTATTATGTGTTCTTTGCAAATGAACGGAATCGGACAATTTTGTCACGTGATACTGGCATGAATGGTGGTTTAATTCCATCAACTGTCCTAACAGACGAGAGATTAATGCCGTTCTTCATCCCTTAATTAAACGCCAGTCACAACACAGCGTCTCCCCGCCACCGAAGTTTCGCGCTACAGCCAGTGCGAAGGATATGGGGGTGGCCATATTCTGGGAAAGCGAAGGCCTCATCCTCACCCATTGCATCCTAAGTGGCATGACAGTGAAGGCTGCATCCTGCAGACATAAGGAACAATTTATTCTCGCATTGGAGATAACACGACCGGAAAATGCCCCAGACCTGATTTGTTTTCTCGGCAATGCCCCGGCCCACCGGGAGACACTTCTTTAAAGTTTGATTTTAAGAAAATAACTTTGAACTGATTTCTCATGCTCCCTGCCCTCCTGACCTTGCACCACCTGTAGTTTGGCTGTTTTGGATTATGAAGGACATTCTCCGTGGTCGAGTGTTTTCGATATGCTCCACTGCTGCGTGTGCAATATACCAGTAGTCTCGCCAGACCCTAAAAGCAGTCGTCGCAGTGGCCATGTAGTTTTGGCGTCGACGGTACCAAAATTATATATAACTACCAGGGTGTCGAACCGAAACCAAACCGAACCGAAAACCGGAACCGAACCGGTATTGACAATGAATGTGCTATCAATGCCATTTGTTTTTTAAGTGCCGTCAACTGACACACACCTCGCTTACATATTTTTCTTCTCCACTCAGTCTTAAGAATATAAACGCTGCATCCATGAATCTTGACAAACGCTGCATCCATGAATCTTGACATAGGAACCAGTATTGCGCTGGTCGCGGCTTGCACGGAAGAAAGAGAATTGGAAGGCTGTGCAAAAAAAAAAAAAATCGCGTCACGGGATTTCATTTTTCTACAATCCCGTAAATCCTAAATGCTGCTGTGTGCTCATTTCATAACACGTTTCCAGAACGCGCGAGTTCTTGAAGCTTGCTTCCATCGGAATGAGAAAAGAAAAGGCTGTGCAGTTTGATCATAATGCATCCGGTTTCGTATAGGCACTTAGAAGGTAACATATTTGTGAGACAGCGAACTCTTCTATTTTAATACTTATCGTATTACGTCATTCTGGCGTTGCGTTCGGTGAAATGTTTTTCATATTCCGTATCTTGTTTATTGAAAACTTCTTTAAGGGTCTAATTTGAGTTACCGAAGGCTAGTTCAAATAAAGAAATCTATATTTTCTCCCCACTGTTCCTTCAATTGCTTACACGCCGAGGTGGCGGGATAGTTAGCGAGTTCTACTTGTAAGATGGGTTTGTAAGAAGGTCGCGGATTTTACAGCTACTGCGTCGGACCCAATTAGATGAAGTCCGAATGCGTAAACGTCGGTGAGGTAACCTTTGAGTGCACATAAAGAAACCATTCCTGGTAGAAATCCCTGAGCCTTACACTACGATGTATCCCGTTTCGTATGTGCTGATTTCAGATGTTTTTATTTTGATGTTGCAATTTGTCATTTATAATTTCCGAACCGGTTCGCGAACCGGTTCAGCGCCCCGAACCGGTTCGCGAACCGGTTCGCGGATCGAATTAATCGAACCGGAACAGAACCGGAACAAAATAACTTTACCTGAACCTGAACCGTAACCGAACCCGTACTTTTTTGGGTTCGACACACTGATAACTACACAGTGATTATGTAGGCAAGTGGCGACGTTTCTGCAGTTTTCTGTGTGTACTGGTTGATAAATAAATTAGGAGATATTATAACTTTAATGCCCTTGAATTCAATTAGGGCTGCATTTATTGATCTCAAGATTGTAAGATCTTAATATAGTAGTGCTGTTAGATGGGTGAAACTTTGTTAAGACGCACACTTACACATCGCGTACGAGCCGGGACAACCATAGGGCCGGAGGTCTCGATAATTTTACAATTAAGTTTTAACTACCATGTTGCAGACAATAGTTAGCCGGCAGATAAACCAATGTCCCATCCGTCGATACGAAAAGAGTTTTTGAGAATTTTTTGCTGGTTTTGGGCCGACTTTAACATTTAAATTTTTCATTTCCTCCTGTGTGTGTGTCTGTGCGCGCGCGTGTGCGTGTGCGTGCGTGCGTGTGCGTGGGTGCGTGTGCGTGCGTGTCCGTGCGTGTGTGTGTGTGAGTGTGTGTGTGTGTGTGTCTGTGTGTGTGTGTGTGTCTGTGTGTGTGTGTGTGTGTGTGTGTGTGTGTGTGTTCATCTCACGTAATATATGTTTTGGGACCGCAGGACCTCCTGGAGAACGAGTCACTCAAGTTGGACTGGACATTTCGCTACTCCATCATTAACGATATTGTCGAGGTAAACGCGCATCGAAGCAAGGGTTGTTTGGTGCCATGCTTTCTGTCAGTTTCGTGAGTGCGCCGGTATCCCTGTGCCTGCTTGTGATTGCGGACTGGAGCGCAGAGCACGAATACTTCGGTCTTATATAATCGCTTACTTGTTTCAGCTGAGAAGGTTAAGCATGGGTTGTTGCGCGGCATGGTGCAGGGCATGAGCTTCTTGCACTGCGGCTTCATTGGCTACCACGGGCGCCTGAAGTCGACGGCCTGCCTCATTGACGCCCGCTTCGTGGTGAAGATCTCCAACTTCGGACTGCGCGAGCTGCGGAAGCAAGTGATGCCCCCCGAAGTGGAAAACCCACGTAGGTGGCGGGCGACCTTAGCGGTCGACCCAAGGTGCTCAGTGCGCGTTCTCACCAGGGAGCCTGCTGTGGACGGCGCCGGAGCACTTGCGCGAGGAGACTCCAGGAGGCTCAGCCAAGGGCGACGTCTACAGTTTCGCCATCATTTTGCAAGAAATTCTGACGCGGTCAGGCCCTTTCGAGAACCTGGAGAAATACTCCAAGCACTTTCTGCCGCCCGAAGGTAGGGCTTTGTGTCCCGGAGCCCACCGGCCGACGGCTGACGGCGGCTCGCGTAGAGATTCTTTTCAGAGTCAAGCTGGGCTCGAAGCCCCCGTTCCGGCCGGACGTGACCCCTTCGGACTGCCCGCGGGAGCTGCTCTCCCTCATGAAGCTGTGCTGGAACGAGAGCCCCGTGTTGCGGCCCTCGTTCGCCATCCTCAAGCAGCTCATGCGCAAGTATACCAGGTGAGAATCGTTGTAAGCGTGGTGGTGCAAAGACCCATCTGCCGACGGCGTTTCAGGCAGATGGGCAGCACCAACCTGCTGGATAACCTGCTGCAGCGCATGGAGCAGTACGCCAACAACCTGGAGCAGCTGGTGGAGGAGAAGACGGCCGCTCTGGTCGAGGAGAAGCGCAAGAGCGACGAGCTGCTCTACGAGGTCCTGCCCCGCTACGTGGCCGAGCAGCTCAAACGCGGCGAGTACGTCCAGCCGGAGGCCTTCGAGTGTGCCACCATCTGCTTCAGCGACATCGTCGGCTTCACCGCCATCTGCGCCAACAGCACGCCCATCGAGGTGGTCGACCTCCTGAACGACCTGTATTCCTACTTCGACGCAATAATCATCAACTACGACGTCTTCAAGGTATGCGCCCTCCAGGCTCACTGCCTTGGCTCCTGACATATACTTAAATCACCCATAAGGGGGCGTTGCATTTAGAGAATATTTCCACCAATGAACCAGCTCAGTTATGAAAACCAGGGCTGACAAGCTCGTTGGTCCACCCGTGCCCAGCTTTAAGGCGATTATCTTCTGTTTCGTGATGTGTGCAGGTGGAGACCATCGGCGACGCGTACATGGTCGTGTCCGGGCTGCCCGTGCGCAACGGCAACGAGCACGCGCGCGAGATCGCCCGCATGACGCTGTCCCTGCTGACGGCCATCGCGGGCTTTCGCATCCGGCACCAGCCGGGCAACAAGCTGCGGCTGCGCATCGGCGTTCACTCGGGGCCCTGCGCCGCGGGCGTGGTGGGCCTCAAGAGGCCCCGCTACTGCCTCTTCGGGGACTCCGTGAACACGGCCTCCCGCATGGAGAGCTGCGGCGAGGCCATGAAGATCCACATCACCCGCGAGACCAAGCGCCTGTTGGACACCTTCGGCACCTTCCGGCAAAGGCTCCGTGGCGACATCTACGTCAAGGTGGGTCCTTCTGCGCTGGGACTCCGGTTCAGAAGGCTGCTTTGCGAATGAAATGCGTTTTCCTGCATTCTACACCAGGGGATGAGAGTTCACGTAATTCTAGAATGAATTCATGCAAACGTATTTGAGCAAAAACTTATTGAATACAAGGGGATGACCGTAAACTTAAAGGGAAGATGGGGCACTTCTACATTTGAAAAAAAACGCTTGAATTGCGTTCATTTGGCCTTTAGAATAACAGATATCAAAATTATATTTCAATGCGACGCGCCGGAGAGCCACAAGAGCAATTTCAAAATAGGGCTGAAGCCCCGCCCCCCTAGCCTTGGGCAGCCAAAAGAGCCGTCAATGACGCCACGGACAGCGACAGTCTTTCGCGTTTTTCTCGCGTTTAACAATACTTACGCAGCAAATGGTTTGGGTATTCGGGTTCGCGAGGTACAAATACACTAGAATTCACTTCTAACTCAATTTTTCCAAGAAGCTCCGTAGCTTCCCTTTAATATGAGCAGGAATTTAAACGTGAAATGATGGAATTTGAATTGCTTCGTGATTTTAAAGTTTTTCGACCCTTCACTCTATGGGCGAAAATGTGACCAAACTGTCTCATAATGTCATTAGAAATGAAAAGGTGAAACAAGCAGTATGTGTTATTCCCTAGTGGGTGTTATATATACCTTTCATTGCATTTGGATACGCCGGATTACTTGAATTCCGCATGACAGGGAGTTACCCTTTTTTATAAGCGCCTCACATACACAAATAGAAAAAAAAAGAGCAACCACCAGTAAATCATGATGAAGTGTGTGGGACCAGCAACATCTTTATATCTATTCCGACTGGCTGACCACAACGAGAAGGCCAGTAGCAGTCTGACGTTCGTCAAGGCATGTATCTATCCCCCCTCTCGACAGTGTCGCCGAGAGACTCGGCTTCGTCATCTCCTGACGAAGCCGAGTCTTTCGGGGAAACCGTTGATTAAACTTCCGCTGTTTGCTGTTTCTCACCGTGAGTTTTTCATTTCGTTATATATACGCCTTTGGCCCCTTGGCTCCTGTGCCACCATGCCCACTATATATATATATATATATATATATATATATATATATATATATATATATATATATATACCGGGTGTTCCATTTTAATTCGAACAGATTTATTACAAAAAAAAATCCGTAAAAGATGCACTGATACGGTTTGTTCAGGTGAGTTATACGGCCAGGGGGACAATATGTGGGTGGCTAATCTTTGCGATAAGTCAGTTAATTAATTAAAATTTGTTAATTAACTTTTTAATTACTGAAAATGAACGTATGGTTCCAATTAGAAACTTAGAGAGCGTTATCGAAAACCACTAAATCAACTCTTTTTAGAACGACTTGAAGCTCGTGGGAAACTCGGGAGCGCAGCAAAGTTACCACTCGTGAAGCAGGCGCAAAGGAGGCAGTGGCGGAACGCGATGATAATCTTTTCATTCACGCTTCAGTAGGAATTACCGGGTTCGTTTCCTGCTAGAATCATTTTTACGCCCAGGAGTCAGGTGATTCTCTCGGAGAGAATCAAGGGACTCCGACTTTATTAGAGTCACGCGACTCTCCCATGAGAGTCCCCAGGATTTCAAGACATCCAGGACCATGGCAGCAACCAGAATGTCAACACGTCGTCGGCGTTCGAATACTTCGAGAGTACCCTTTGGAAGGAACCGCACCCACCGGGAACCACCCTTCCTCCCGTCGCTATGGAGCTAATGAGCGCGTTGTAGACGAGCTTCCTAAGACCAACAACAGCCTAGAAGCATGGCTCCGGAGTATTCAGTCTTCGCTCGGATTTTCAAATCTTGAACCGTACCGGTTCATCGAGGCTTCGAAGACCGAACAAAGCCTCACCAAGCAGATGATGATCCACGGCCTAAGAAAATGCACCCTATCGGGTTCAAAGCCATACGCGAGAATCTCGCAAAGGCTACGGAACGTCCTGACCTAGTATTACACACAGCCCCTCATTGACTCTCTTTTGGGCTTCCGCTTTTCTTACTGCAGGTAAGTTATATATAAAACAAGAGTGTATGTCAATAAAACTATTTCTTTAGCAGTGCCACAAAACTCGTCAATGTTATCTTCATTTTTGCTTAGGCTAAACAGGGTGCGGCATTTGTATCGATATGAAACGTTAACGAATTAACAATCACTCAGTCATTAAAACGACGATCTTCTGTGGGCAACTTCTGGGCAATGTGCACTTGCATGGCCCACATCTCGTGGGGAGACTGCGCGTTGCCCAAATCTCGTGAAGCTTGTTTGGAAACAGCGCGTTGGCCTATAAGTGTAGGTAATAAGATAACGGCGCAGGTAATACTATAAAGTAATATAATGGTAGATAAAAAATGTAACACTCATACACAGTTTTTGCAGAACATGTTTGCAGCAAGTGCTTAATTTAGGCGCGTGGTGCTAATAATGTGTCCTACAGCGATAAAACAGCAAGCATTGACGTGCGTGCTGTTTTCTCCCTGTGCTGTTTTGTAGGTTGCTGTTTTGGTACGTGTTCTTCTGTTGCTCTGCTGTTTTGACTCCGTGCTGTTTTGTCGCGTACTGTTTTGTCGTGTGCTGTTTTGTCGTGGTGCCGCGATGGGCGCAGGACCCCGACTGTCACGCACGAGAGGCAGCGCGTAAGCGCCTTTCATAGGTCTGCTAGAGCACAACTGCGGCGACTATTCTGGTGCCCCAGCAAAGCTCCGAAACCAAAGATCCAGGGACACTTTTTAAGGACGCAACAGCTGCCACTGTCAACCTCATCACACTATTGTGTGGTCGTTGGCAACTTTTTGATCAAGAGGAGGAGCAGGAAAACGGAACTCCCTTAGTAAGGTATTTGGTAAAACTGTCTACCGTGGTTGTCCTCGAGGGGTGACATTCTGAAATTCATAAAAAGAACGCTACACTCCTTAGTACAAGTGCCATGTAAGCAGACACTTGATGGTTGTGACATAAGAGAACCGCGTTTTTTTCACCGCAAAATAAACCACACACCGTCGAACGCTCAGTGTGTGGTTGGGATTAGATGCTGAAGTCTCAGATCTTGCGATTATCTGATATAAAAGTAATTTATTTTATCTTTTATCTTAAAGGGGAAAATGGGGCCCGTTTCCGGTAGTAGACGGTATTCATTCCCATTTATCCGTCGGCTTCGATGGCTGCCATCTTTTAAATAAAAAGTAACGAACATTGTTTATAACTTTGGTTTCTTCTCTCAAGCTTGGGACGGTAGGGCTACATTTAGGCAGAGAATGAGCGTTCAGCAATGCGTAGTTTCTTTTTTGGGGGGCTGAGAAAATTTTAATTTTCACTCAAACACAAGATATACTCGAATATTCAGGGGCCACTGTATTTCATTTTACTGGTTACACCCTCCTCGAGTTCCTCCGACTCATCATTTTTACGGTCGACAATTGTACAGGGTAAAGTTTTCTATTGTGGCGTAGAATGTGAAAACACATATACATCTTTCTTTCTTTATTTTTTTGGAGCTGTATTTTTTTTAAGCAAATGTGTTTAAAGGTGCGTGTATCCTGCCTATTTCTAAATAGACTAAAAAGTATATGGGGGGGACTGGGTCACTTATATTGACAACTTCTTGAAACAGTGAGAATACTGATCGCCCCAACTGACATCCGCAATTGTTGTTTTGTGAAATTAAATAGCTGAGGACTGTCCGATTTGCTTGTATCCTTACCCTAGTTCACAGGTTAAACAAGTAAGTTTTACTCATTTGCACTGACTCTAATTTACTGACCTGAATTGAGCTTTCTAACAAAACACGCGAGATAGTAACTGTACGTCATTTTACTCCCCCGGCGAGTCCTCGGTGTTATTTCTGGTGTTTCTCGGGGTTTTGCCTTATAATTTTTATATTCCTTATCTAGAACCATGATTTAATTATGGGGTGTTTCATCAGCTATTATTTGCTGACACACATTCCTAATATCGTCCGTTATTTACCGTGAACTAACTAATAATTCTAATATCTTGCTTCTCCAGAATATTGTAAACGCTATTTGATTTGTGCGACGAATGACAGATGGTTGCATCAATCAAGCACATGAACTAATAAAGAGTTGCAATTTATATAGGTACAGGGTAGTCAAACGTGTACTTATAAACATAAAACAGGATTGTTCCTTCTTAAAAACAAGTCATACACTTGTTCGTTGGTAAATAAAACGAGACACTCACGAAGAAACTCTGCTGTTTTTGTTTTTTGGTCATTGTGTTCTTTAAGACGGTTTAATTCTGGTGTTAGTTAAAAAAGATATGTACCCCAGTACAACCGTACTCAAGTAAGCGCCAAATGAAGGGAAAAAGCCGCAACAGAAGCGCTACGATTCCCACATGGCCTTGAAACTTTAATGGCGTGAGTTATTTTTTTCTGCCCCACGAGAAAACTGGCAACGGCCTTTCCTTGGAAACGGAGTAAATGCTCGATCGATAGACGTCCCGGTGTTTCGGATACCTCAGGAATATTTCCCACGAGGCTGCAGGTGCAATTAAGAAGCGGCTCTGGTTTCGATTCGAACAAGATGGAGCCGATACGAGTAGCCCTGTTCTTTCTTGCTTCTACTTTTGAGAACAACACAACAGCAAAAAAAGTAAATTAAAAGACAGCCTGCCGTATGACAGACGAGTCTCTACTTAAAATTTGTTTTAGCACAACGCAAAGAAACATTTAGAAACGTTCGTATGGTCTTTATCGTCAACAATTCTGAGAATTGACTAGTTTAGAATGTCGAATTTATACTTCGTTTCAGCTTCCGTCCGAGCGCAGCCAAAGGCTGAGAGACGGTTCGCAACTTCGAGAAGAGCATTCCTACGCACCACAAAGTAGTCTGCAGAAGTAATCTTTTTTTAGTAACTGTTTGGTGCGTAAACAATGCACAATATTCCATATGTGTACTGCTGAGAATGATCTGCAACTAAAATAATTACTTATCTGAAGTTTTT